GGGTCTCACTCTTGCTCAGGCTGGTTTCGAACTCCTGAGCTCAAACAATCCGCCTGCCTCGGCCTCCCAGAGTGCTAGGATTACAGGCGTGGGCCACCGCGCCCGGCCTGATTTAACATTTTTATTTCAAACTGTCAGTCTTTATAATATGCTAGAAATTACAGCCTTTGCAACAATTTAAACTTAAGTGTACTGAGTCTTTCAAAATTATTGCAGGAGATAAGAGAGGAAAACAGTTTAAAACCACTGTTCTAAAGGACTCTGTGACAACACAGGCCTAGGAAGGAAGGGAATGGTTTCAGGGGAAGGAATTGACAGCTTCAGTATTGTGGCTGTTGAGATAATAGGTGGCTATGAGATACGGTCCCTGAGTGCCCAGAGATCTCCTTTGGGTTGAAAATATCTTCCAAGTAATGACTTTACCTTTTGCCAAAAATCCTGGAAACCATAGGCTTCTCATTCCTCTAGCTGCTCAATTTTCTCTCCTTTCTTACCTTTGTATCCTTTTCTCTTGTCCTTGACCTCATTTCCCATCCTTGAATCTGCCTTGTACCCTCTTCCCCTGAAGCTTGCCTGGTCCCTTTGGAAGCCACTGAAGCAGAACCAAAGAGGGGAAATGACATCACCTTCAGCCATTCCCTATCATCATGCCATGTCCTTGCTGCTTGGCTGCCTCTTTCACATTAATCTCATCACCTGCCTGACTGCCCAGCTCTGAGCACTGTGTGCGCCCTATCCGTGGCTCCTGGGCTACTCCGTGCCTTACTGCACGATGAAGCAGAGAATGATGACTGCTTTGCTGGGGAAAGGAGCTGTGAACTCCAAGAGATCTGAGGATGATGTGCCTCTGTCACCTTAAATCCAGACTGCTGCAGCATCGTGACTCAGCACTGCTGCTTCAGCAGTAACCTTTTCCTTAGATGATGGCTGACTTTCAGGAGGAATGAAGACTCCCAATTTTCTCTGAGAACTTTAATTTTCCTGGGACTCAACTGCCTTTGAGATCACATTTATCTACTCTATGCATAGTAAGAGTTTTATCTGCCCTAAGATAATGAACAGATAGTTAAAGAATAAGAAAATAAAAATGACTAATAAATACTTGAAGGTTAGCATTATTGGTATCAAAGAAATGCAAACTGAAACAATGAGATGCTACTTTCTTCTGACAAAAAAGCAAAGAATAAAATAGATAATGCTATGCTGGTAACCATTGTCCTTTTGTCAGTAGGGTAAAAATTGGTTCATCCTTTTTTTTTTTTGAGACAGAGTCTCGCTCTGTCGCCTAGCTAGAGTGTGGTGCAACCTACTCTTACTGCAACCTCAAACTCCTGGGCTCAAGAGATTCTTCTACCTCATTCTCCCAAGTAGCTGGAACTACAGGCACATGCCACCATGCCCAGCTCATTTTTTTCTATTTTTAGTAGAGATGGGGTCTCGCTCCTGCTCAGGCTGGTCTCGAACTCCTGAGCTCAAGCAATCCTCCCACCTTGGCCTCCTAGAGTGCTAGGATTATAGGCATGAGCCACCATACCTGGCCTAAAAAGAATGTTTATTAAGAGTTTTTAATAACATGGAAAAATAAGTTTAATATAAGTTCATGGTTTTTAAAGAAAGGAAATCAGAGTTCAAATAACCTCTGAGAGGCTTTGAGGTAAAGGTAAAATACCAGGAGAAATTAAAAATGGGTAGTACTTTACTTTGATAGGTCCCCCTAAAGCAGATATATATCCCAGTCTCAGGCTATTCCAATGAGGAAAAATAAAGGAATGACAATAGGACCCTATATTTTTTATATATTATCTCAATTGGGGTTTTTCTTAAGCATTACTGTATTTCAATCTAAGATACTATCAATATTAAGGTACATCCCAATTTCAGAGGTGTTAAAATGGGAAAACATATTCATTTTCGAATTTATTGGATATGGTAATTTATTTCTAAATTGGTGGTCTATAGCTTTTTCCTTGACACTTGAGGGAAATATTTGTGAGTTACAGGAAATCTCTATAGCAAGTAAATCTCTGATGTGGGGGTATACTGTTGGTTAACGATTACTGCTATAGGTGTTGAAATTATTAATGATTTCTTACCTTTTTATTTTATTATTTTTTTTAAATATGAAGGGATGGGGGTTTGTGAGGAGGTGTGTTCAGTGGCCTTATTTGTTTTTGTTGAGACAGTCTCACTCTGTCGCCCTGGGTAGAGTGCAGTGGCATCTTCGTAGTTCACTGCCACCTCCAACTCCTGGGCTCAAGCTATCCTTCTGCCACAGCCTCCTGGGTAGCTGGGACTACAGGTGCACGCTGTAATGCTCAGCTGGGTTTTTTATAAACTTCTTTTTGGTAGAGACAGGGTCTCCCTGTTTCTCAGGCTAGTCTTGAACTCCTGAGCTCAAGCAATCCTTCTGCCTCGGCCTCCCAGAGTGTTAGGATTACAGGTGTGAGCCACCACACCCGGCCCCTTTTTATTCATTTTTATATTTTCCAAAATTTTATAATAAACATGTATTACCCTTGTAATTAGAAAAAAAAGTAACTTTTCAAAGGAATTTTTTTGGATTTTTCTTTCTGACGTGGCATCATCTAGTTGTGAACCTTGATCCCACCTATAATAGCAAAGGCTACTGTAACTTGGTGGAAGGGGGAATGAGGTGCTAGTGGTGCATTTTTCCTACTCAAAAGGAACAACTCTGTTTCTCTGGCTAGATAACTAAGAAACCTCAACATCTTCAGGAGAGCCAGGAGATTGGACAGGCCCTGCGTCAGGCCAGGAATGTCTTGGTGAGTGTTGATTGAACTTATACCACCATTGGTCCTCCTGTGAAGATCAACAGTAGAAAATCCTGGGTGGTTAATAGATGGTGATACTCAGCTGTGGTAGTGAAGGGAGGTTTCCACACTTTTGTTAAGTATATTTCTTTATTAAGAGCTTGGAATTGGGGTTAGTGTCCATCTTTTCTAGTTCCCCTGCTTCCTGCTTAGTGACTTTATTTGATCTAGCCTTCTTTCCCTCTACAGAAATCATGGGTGCTAGTCTCTAAAGAGCTGATATCCTTGCTTCACCTGTCCCTGTTGCACTTAGAAGAAGATAAAACTACTGTGAGTGAGGAGGTAAGCAGCATGAAGACGGAGGTACAGGCCTCTGGTGTGACTGAAAGCCAGAAAGAGGAACACAGCATCTGATTCTTATTTTGTAGTCTCAGCGAGCAGAAACCTTGGTCTCCTGCTGTTTTGATATGTTGAAGAAATTGAGGGCAAAGCTCCAGAACCTCAAAGCAGAAAGGGAGGAGGCAAGACACAGAGAGGAAATGGCCATCAGAAGCAAGGATGCAGTAAGATGCCATCTGTTCCTAGACGTGGGCAGTTTCCACCTCAAGGTTCCTGCAGGAACTGGAACATGAATGCACTTGAGACACAGATGGGTGGGCTAAGAACTGCCTGCCCTGGGGAATAAAGAACTAAATTACCAGGGTGTTGAATAGTTATAGCTTTTTGTGCTATTTCCCCCATTACCCACTGTGTCCTTGCAACCTTTTCCCTCAACAGGCAGAGATAGTGCTGGAGGCCTTCTGTGCACATGCCAGCCAGCGCATCAGCCAGCTTGAACAGGACCTGGCATCTGTGCAGGAATTCAGAGGCCTTCTGAAGGAGACCCAGACCCAATTGGTAATTTAAGGGCATTTTCTTTCCTGGGATCCATGCTGCCACACTGGGAGGATGGTCACATACCCCTACTTTGCTGTAGCCAAAAGGAAGTGGCTCCCTCTATAAGCAATCCTTCTCTTGTAGGTAGGCCTTCATACAGAGCAAGAAGAACTGGCTCAGCAGACAATGAGTCTTACTTCTATCTTGCAGCAGGACTGGATATCCATGCAACTGGATGTGAGTATTTGGGGCCATCATAACCACTTCTTTACTCATGGCCAGTCCTGTTGTGAGCTTTGCCTCAAGTGTGCTCTACTTGCTTGCTTCCCCTGACAGTATGTAACATGGACAGCTTTGCTGAGTCGGTCTCGACAACTCACAGAGAAGCTCACAGCCAAGAGCCGGCAGGCCCTGCAGGAACGTGATGCTGCAATTAAGGAAAAACAACAGGTACAAACCAGGAGTAGGGACTGCTTAAGCCTGGTTCCTTCTTTGCAGAAGTCTTTTCTAATGTTTGATGGCATTAGCCTCTTACCCTGGACCTGTCTTCTTTCCACCCTTTGGGATTAGAGGACAGCTGGGTCCCTTAGCTGTAAGATGGCCTTAAGCCTAGTTGTTTCCTTTGCCCTTCAGCACCTTCTTTACTTCAGCAACTTTTTTCCTATCTCACTTTTTCCTGAGGATCAACCTTATTTTCTGCAATGTTGCTGCCCAGGAGCAAGGTAGTTTGCTATCTTATTCATAAAGAGAAGCTGGACTAAGTCCTGGGATCTTGATTTAGGAGGAACTATAGGAGGAAAACTATTTTTTCTTCCTAGGTTTCCAGGGAGCTGGAACAATTCTCTGCTCATTTAGAGGACTGCAAAGGCCAAATAGAACAACTGAAGATGGAAAACAGTCGCCTATCAACAGGTGTTTGTGTGTGTGTGCATGCGTGCAAGCTGTTGATCCTGCTAAGGCTTGGAGTGTGGCAGTAGAGCAAGGAAGTGCTCTGGAGCATCTGCCTTGGTGCAGAAGTGTGGGGAGTTTCTGGCCTGGTGACTGCATGGTGTCATTAGGATACTTTTGGTCTAGATCTCCGGGCTCAGCTGCAGATTCTGGCCAGCACTGACAGCCAGCTAAAAGAGCTACAGAGTCAGCATGCCCACTGTGCCGAGGACCTGGCCATGAAGGATGAATTGCTCTGCCAACTTACCCACAGTAATGAGGAGCAGGCTGCTCAGTGAGTCCCTATCAGTAGGAATTATGGCAGTAGGCGCCCAGGACGTAGGACCAAATGGGATCTAATATGTAGTCTCTGGCAGATGGCAAAAAGAAGAGATGACACTAAAACACATGCAGGCAGAACTGCAGCAACAACATGCTGTCCTGGCCAAAGAGGTGCGGGACCTGAAGGAGACCCTGGAGGTAAGGAATATGGCTTGGGGCAAGGGAGCTGGTAATTCTCAGGATGTGACTCTTGCCTGATGGTATTGAGGTGAGGTTTCAGACCGAACTGGAAAAAGCCTCTGTCCTCAGGGCTCTAAAATTCCCCACATGAACTCATTTTCTCCCTCCCTCTCTTATTCCTTCCCTTCCTTCCTTCTGTCTTCCCAGTTTGCAGACCAGGAGAATCGGGTTGCTCACCTGGAGCTGGGCCAGGTTGAGTGTCAGTTGAAAACCACGCTGGAAGTGCTCCGAGAGCGCAGCCTGCAGTGTGAGAACCTCAAGGACACTGTAGAGAACCTAACGTAAGATCTCTACCTTTCTGTGCTTCCCTCCAAGTGCTTATTTTTTCCAGGAATACTTCTAGAAGCCAATGTCTCCAAGAAGAGAACTGTGATGGTTGAGCCTCTCTTTTTTCTCTTTTTTCTCTCCCTGACTGCCTCTCTGTGTGGGGATTTGGGAGAGGCATTCAGAGAAGATAACCTGGTCTTTGGCTGTCTTCCTTGTTCCTTATCTCAGGGCTAGACTGGCCAGCACCATAGCAGAGAACCAGAAGCAATACCTGGAGAAGACACACCAGTATTCACTACAGCTAGGGGTGCTGACTGAACAACTGCAGAGCCTGGTCTTCTTCCTACAGACAAAAGTAATGGAGAAGGTAGGATTCCTTCTCTTCCCTTTCACTTGCATCTTTATTGTATAGAATGGTCTTCCTAAAACACTACTCTTATTCCATCTCTGTGACCCTCAGTGACTTTCAGTTACCTATCTACAGGGCCTCTTCAGCCTGTCGCTCAAACCTTTCTTCACCTGTCTCCTGCCTCCCTATTAGTCCAACTAGACTGCTTGTATGCTACATGCATGTCCCATGTCCATTCACATCCAGACTTGGGCTGTTCCCACATCTATTCTCTTCTGTCTTCAAACTGGAAATATTTTTTCTTTTCCTATTAAAATCCTTCCTGCTTACCTTCTTTTCTGAAATGTTCCCAAATCCCATGGAGTCAGTGATCTCTTCTTCTGCTATAATATATTCCTCACGAACTTACTCTCCTTTTGCACTTGTATTAATTTTCCTTGAATATTTTTTCTCTTCAACCAAATTGTGTTTAAAGAAAACAAAATGTAGCCTTGCTTCTTTGGCTTCCCCACAGCACACAATAAACGATAAATGGTTGATGTCATTTAGAATACACAGTTAATTAGCTTATTCAACAGATAAAGGTACTACCAAGATCCTGAAATTTGGAAATGCTTATCATCTGACCCTCTTTCCCAACTGTGTGCTGAGCACAGGATTTCCAATGAATCTACAGTCTAGCAGGGAAGACAGACAGATATAAACTTGTCATCTTGACTTACACAATCATGGTAGAGGTCTGCATGGTCCACTGTGGGAATACAGAGAAAGGACGATCATTTCAACCTTTGAAAGTTAGGATGTCTTCTCAAAGCAGGTGACCTTGGCAGAGTCTTGAGGTTTAGAAGTTTGTAGGGCAGGGGTGGGTACATAGGAAGGCCCAGGCAGAGGGAATAGTATATGAAAATTTCATCTGACTACATATGAAAGTGATATGTAGAAAGTCATACACATGGAACACTATGTGTACTTCTTTGTAGTGTCTACCTTGTGGCAAGACCTGGGTTAGGTGCTGGGACTACAGGATGAGCAAGGCAAGGCCCCTCTAATATGGAATGTGGCAAGGCTGGGGAGTGAGAAGTAACTCTTTATGACTGGAGTGTAGGAGGCATATGGGGCAAGGCAGGAGACAACACTGGAGAAGTAGGCAGGAGGCCAGATTGTGATAAGTATTTTGTGCTTTATAGGCCATGCAGTCTCTGTCTCACATACTCTGTCTTTGTAGCTTAAGAGTAGCCATAGATAATACATAAATGAATGGGTATGGCTGTGTTCCAGTAAAATTTTATTTACAAAAACAGTAGGCAGGCCAGATTTGACCCACAGGCTATAATTTGCTGCTCCCCCTGCTCTAGAATAGTAAATACAGGAGTAGGGACAGATTTTTGATAGGGTGGGACAGGGAAAATAGTGAACTCAGCTTTATACATACTAAGTTTCAGATGGACTGTGGAACATTCTGGTAGATTTTTTCACAGGCAGTTAGCCTTTGAGTCTGGAGACTGGGAAAAAATCCAGGAGAGATTGAAGAGTCATTCACGTGTAAGTAGAAGCTTGAAGTGGATGTTTTTGTGGTGCTCCTGAGATGAGGCTGCCCTGGGAATGGGTTAAAGTGAAAAAAAGGCCAAAGACTAAACGCAGAGGAATCCAGCAGTTAAGGAAGGACCTGTGGATAGAGAGAAGAAACAGCCAGAAAAATATGAGGATTACCTTTGAAGGAGAGAGAATCATGTCCTGGAAGCTAAGAAAAGGAGGTTTCTCAAAGAACAACATGGTCATCGATATCAAATAGGTCAGGGAAAACAAGAGCTGGAAAGTGTCCATTGCATTTGAAAGTAAGGATGCCACTGGTGAACCAAATGACAAGAATTTTGGTAGTATGGCAGGGCTCCCTGAGTGCAATGGGCTGGGGAGTCAATAGATGGTGAGAATTGTAGGCAAGATGTATAGGCTTTTTTCTTTTTTAAAAAAAATAAAGGGAAAGAGAAAGCCAGTAGCTAAAAGAGGACTCAAGAAGCTTTTTGTTTTGGTTTCATTTTTAAAATATTGTTGTTTTAGTGGGACAGACTTAAGAATATAAACATGTTCAGGAAAAGGCACTAATGGAATAGTTGAATATAGAGAAGTGAGGTAATAGGTAGAAGAGCATTCTGGAAGAGAAGACTGGGAGTACCTGGGAGTTCAGGAAATCACTAACCCTAAATAGCAGCTGATATTATTTTCCCCTTTACCCTTAGGCTGAACCAGAGACCCTTCTGAGCACAGCCTGTGCTCCTGCCCGGGAACACCCTCTGCCCAATGTTAGCACCTTCTTGGGAAGCATCTTTACGGCAGCGGCAGATGAAGGTTAAAGGCCCTGGGATGTGGGGTGGGAAAGTTGTGACCCTGCTCTGGATATCTTCAGCTGTTGAAGATGCCCACCATCAGGCCTACCTCTCCCTGGCTTCCATTATGGCAGACCCCTGACTGGGTCACCAGAGGGACCCTCTCCCATGGTTGATTTTTGTTTTAGAGCCAGAATCAGCTCCTGTGCCCTTGCTTGGAAGTGAGAAGAGTGCTTTCACCCGAGTAGCATCAATGGTTTCCCTTCAGCCTACAGGTTAGATTGGGCTCCAGGGATCCTGCCTCATTTCTAGAAAATCTGGTGATGATGAGTCAAGGCAAATGCAGTGAGAAGTGCTTTGCTCTAAAAACCTCAATTCTACTTGGGCTCATTTTATTTTTGCCTTTTGGGATCTGTAATGTTCCGGATGTTCAAATCCTATGGGTAGAGAACATGAATAAGAGTTGTGGAAATGATGGCTATACATTCCTTCCTTCCAAGGCTGAAGGGCTATCTATACCTGTATCTGGGACTTTCTCTTTCAGAGACCCCAAGTATGGAGAAGAGCCTGGCAGAAATGCATACTATGACTCTTGAACTTCAGAGCCTTTGTTCCCTGCTGCAAGAGTCTAAAGAAGAAGCCATCAGGACTCTGCAGCAGAAAATGTGAGTGGGATGCAATCTTGGTGACAGAGGGACAATGAGACAGCTTCTTATGCCAAGGGCCCAGCTGACCCCTGAGAGAATAGGAATGATGCTAAATTCTTCCCTCCCCTAGTTGTGATCTGCAGGATAGGCTGCAGGCCCAGGAAGAACAGCATCAAGAAGCCCAGAAGGCAAAGGAAGCAGACATAGAGAAGCTGAATCAGGCTCTATGCTTGCGTTACAAGGTGAAGGAGGGGCCTAGAAGTGGGGCGATGAAGAACTGGGGCAGCCCTACTGGTTCCCTGGGAGCCACTGTCTCTTCAGGAATCTGGGTGGTAGCAATTTTCCAACTACTGCCCTAGTTTTGCCCTTCCTGGGGTCACACATTTCACATATTTGGGAATCAGCTATGGGCTGACCTATCTTCCCAGGGAGACCCAGGAGAGAAGTCAGGAATTCTAGCAGAACTCTCCCAACACTGCAATGTGCCTTGCTCAACTTGGCCCTGGAGGAAGAATTGGAGTGGTATTGCCTGGTCCCACCTGGGCTGAGCATGGGTCAGGCACTCTCTCCACAAGGCAAGGGCTGCAAAGAATCCAGTTCTCCCTCAGTGTCTTCTCACCTCCCTTTCCTTTGCAGAATGAAAAGGAGCTCCAGGAAGTGATACAGCAGCAGAACGAGAAGATCCTAGAGCAGATAGACAGGAGTGGCGAGCTCATAGTATGTTCATCATGATGCCCAGCCTCTGCCCTCTGTGTCACTGGTAGCCAGGATCCCAGATATGAGCCTGGTCTACCTTTGTTCACCACATGGGATAGGTAGGACAGAGGGAACCTTTGAGGGTTATTGGATACCTCTCCATTCTCACTCCTAGAGCCTCAGAGAGGAGGTGACCCAACTCACCCGCTCACTTCGGCGTGCAGAAACAGAGACTAAAGTGCTCCAGGAGACCCTGGTGGGCCAACTGGACCCAAACTGTGAGCCCATGGCCACTAACTGGATCCAGGAGAAAGTGTGGCTCTCCCAGGAGGTGACTTAGAGTTAACAGAGGAGCTGGGCAGCTGGTGGGAACTCCAGGCTTTGCCTCTATTGATCTGGAAATATCTATAGGTGGACAAGCTGAGGGTGATGTTCCTAGAAATGAAAAATGAGAAGGAAAAACTCATGGTCAAGTTCCAGAGCCATGTAAGAATTTCCATGTCCTTCCCTGGCCATTTCCTACCATGACTAGCAAGTACCCTGTCACGTCTCCCCTGTACTACCAAGCTATGCTGTTCTTTTGAGCATAACACTTTCGAAACCTAATTGCTTTCTAGCGAAACATCCTAGAGGAGAACCTTCGGCGCTCTGACAAGGAGTTAAAAAAACTAGATGACATCGTTCAGCATATTTATAAGGTAAAGGAAGGCGGGAGTTGATATGACTAAGGCACCTGCTATAAGGCCCGGCCCCAGGAGGTACTGATGAGCATAGCTCTGGCTCTCAGCCTGTGCTGAGAGCTGGGCCTGACTCACTATTGCAGCCTTCTCTGTGGCTTCTGTTTTGTCCCCTCTAACCCAGTGGCTGCTTCCTGGGGCTGGGAGCCCTGGGCCTTAGGCATATGGTTCTGAGCTGCTGTTTTTGCCCCTCTTCTCAGACTCTGCTGTCCATCCCAGAGGTAGTGAGAGGTTGCAAGGAGCTACAGGGATTGCTGGAATTTCTGAGCTAAGAACCTGAAAGCTGGAATCTGCTTCACCTCTTTTTACCTGCAATAGCCCCTTACCCTGATATCAAGACCAATTGGAATGCAGCTAACTATGTTTAATGCTATTTAAATAAAGTGTATTTAATGTATTTTTTCAAGCTCACTCAGTCTTTTATTTTGGGTGGGAGGGGGTTGATGAGGTCAGGGAAGAGGCAGCTGGGCCCTCCTGCCTAGGCACCCTCTGCAGATGCCCCTCCACCTCCTGGCACATCCAAAGCCAAGGCTGTCTGCCCTTCCTCCCTTCCCTTGCTTCCCCCAAAACTCTGGGCACTGGACTGCTTGTTCCCTGGCTCACTGCCTGGGGGAAACAGAAAAGGCTTCATTCTCTTACTTTCCCCATTCCCCTCAGGGGTAGGCCTATGGGGTGAGGACAGAGAAACTCAGTTCATTGCTTCCACCCCTGAACTTGGGTACCTTGTTGGGGCCTCTGTCCCACCTACCCCACCTGTTGTGACTGTTTAGGTGACTTCTCTTCACCAGACCGGGCTTAATCCCCAATATCCAGTAAGTGCCCAGCACATGGTAAAGGCGATTGTGGCAGAAACGAACACAACACAAGGCCATTTCCTGCCTCTAAGGCCCCGGTGGCAGGGCTCCACGAGGTGGGAGGGGGACAGGCCATAACAGCCTCGGAAGTCCTGGCAGAGGAGTCACTCCACCTCGCCGCCCCGCCTCTGTGGGCGTAGCCTTGCCCGGCACCAGTTCTGGGGAGGGGTGTGGCCAGGGCGGGGAGATGCAGGCCCCGCCCCCCGGAGGAGTCACGTAGCTCTGCGGCATCCGCAGCTTCATTTACCCGACCCAGCCAGAGCTGGAGCTGCAGTCGTTGCCGACCAGAGCCGGAGCTGCTAACTGGCTGCGCACAGGTAAGGTCTAGGTGAGGCGGGAACTGCTTGGCATCTCCGCTTCCTCTCCTTGGCTCTTTCCCTTGGCCATCCTTCTCCTGCTCTGTGAGGCCCCTGGATGTGTTTTTGCGGCTCTTTCCTAACATCCTTGATCCTTTCTGTCCACTTGAAACCCCATGGCTCAGTTTCTCCCATTCCACCCCTTCCTCTTACCTCTCCTACCTGGACCGTAGCTTTTCCAGTCCCCAATCTTGATTTTTCCTTGGGGTCAGCCTCTCCCATCCAGACCATTTTCATCTCAGCTTACTCCCTCTCCTCCTAGGGTAGGTCCCCTCTTCAGTTCTCCTGCATTCTCTGTCCCCTGGTCTGAGTCTGTCCCCCTGACTGGTTAGCTTGCATCACTATCACCTTCCCCAAGTCTCCTCCCCATGTCTGCGTCTCCCTCCCATTCTCAGGCTCTCTACTCCTTACAGCCTTTCAGCCTTAATCCTCTGCCCTGTTTCCCCACTAGGTGTCTGAGTTGTGGGGAATTGTATTCCCTAATTCCCATCCCTCTTCCCATACAGGTAAAGTGCTCCTGGCACTGGAGATGACTTGGCAGTGTCACCTCCCCCAGCCTTCACATACTACTGTAGCTGACCTGCTGGCCCCCTTTCCTATAACACTTAGCAGCCCCACTGGGGCCACCCTTTGGCCCTGGGGTGAGGAGTAGGGAATAGGCATAGGCAGTCAGGTTTGGAGTACAGAAAAGAAGCAGCTGTGGAAGTTTGACTGGCATTTGTGCCACTCCTGCACCCTACCTGCTCCCCTCCTCCTAACCTTTTCCTCTAGAAGCCGAGGGAAGGGGGTGATGATAAGTACTTTTGCTTCATTCTGAAGACTTGGAAGTAAGTACACTTGCCCTAGGGGCCCTGTTGAGGATGAGAACAGGGAAGCTGGGAAGGCCAGGGCTTTTGCCTACCTTGAGAAGGGGCCAAGTTCATGAAAGAAGGGCTGGCATCCTCAACTGGGCAGCAGATTCATAAGAAGACTTGTAGCTCCAGGGCTGCTCTCCTCCCTACCCCCACCCTGCATCTTTCCCCCCGGGGCTGGGAAGGGTGCCCACCAGGGACAAAAGGAGATGTGGGAATTGGGGCCCTAAGCCTGCTAGCTGTCAGAGGGATTGGTGCCACTTTGATGCCTAGGACTCATGCCAAGGACTGCCCTGTTCCCAGTCCTATACTTGACGGGGAGGCCATTTGGCCCATCTAGCCAGGAGAGGCAGCAAAGGAGGTAGTGGGTGAGGTCCAGCTTTTATGTCTTGTCTCCATTCCAGAGAGCTGCTGCCATGCCTCACTCGTACCCAGCCCTTTCTGCTGAGCAGAAGAAGGAGTTGTCTGACATAGCCCTTCGGATTGTGGCCCCAGGCAAAGGCATTCTGGCTGCAGATGAGTCTGTAGGTAGGTGGGAGTCTGTGGCTAGGTGGCATTCAGGTGCCTGGGGAGCCCAAGGGACAGACTTGCTGCCCTTCTTTGTTTGCTTCCAGGCAGCATGGCCAAGCGGCTGAGCCAAATCGGGGTGGAAAACACAGAGGAGAACCGCCGCCTGTACCGCCAGGTCCTGTTCAGTGCCGATGACCGTGTGAAGAAGTGCATTGGAGGTGTCATTTTCTTCCATGAGACCCTCTACCAGAAAGATGATAACGGTGTTCCCTTCGTCCGTACCATCCAGGATAAGGGCATTGTCGTGGGCATCAAGGTGCAGCACCTGGCCCTGAATGGGGGCTGGGTGTGGAAACAGGTTTGTGTAAGAGGGGTGGCAAGGGGAATCCTGCCTGGTTCAGCCCTCTGCCTTTGCTTCTCCTACAGGTTGACAAGGGTGTAGTGCCTCTAGCAGGGACTGATGGAGAAACCACCACTCAAGGTATAGGCTGGGTGGGCTTCAGGACCAGAGAGGTGTTAGGTGGTTGATGGTGGCAACAGAGGCAGGGTGATGAGGCTGGCACTATGCTTGCAGGGCTGGATGGGCTCTCGGAACGCTGTGCCCAGTACAAAAAGGATGGTGCTGACTTTGCCAAGTGGCGCTGTGTGCTAAAAATCAGTGAACGCACACCCTCAGCACTTGCCATTCTGGAAAATGCCAACGTGCTGGCCCGCTATGCCAGCATCTGCCAGCAGGTATGTGTGTTGGTAGGGGCAGTCAGATGGGAGCTCTGTGACTGGTGGGAGAGGGTTGTTGGGCTTTCTCCCATCTCCCCTACACCCCCTCCCCCAAGCCACTCTGCTCTTGCCTGCAGAATGGCATTGTTCCTATTGTGGAGCCTGAGATCCTGCCTGATGGAGACCATGACCTCAAACGTTGCCAGTATGTTACAGAGAAGGTGAGTCCACACCTGGGCACCGACACATGCCACAGGGAAGCCTGGCAGGGGTGCCTGTTCCCCAGAGCTCCTGGCTTAGATCCCTAAGCACTTACCCCTGGAGTTCTTACACTTGACCCAGAACAGGCCTGTGAGTCTGAGCCTGTCCTGAGCCCTCCCAGTCCATGCCACCCATCCTAGACAGGGAGCATGGAGCAGTAAGCAGGGGTGCCCAGACCCTTAGTAAACCTCCTCTGATCCCCAGGTCCTGGCTGCTATGTACAAGGCTCTGAGTGACCATCATGTGTACCTGGAGGGGACCCTCCTCAAGCCCAACATGGTGACCCCTGGCCATGCCTGTCCCATCAAGTATAGCCCAGAGGAGATTGCCATGGCAACTGTCACTGCCCTGCGTCGCACTGTACCCCCAGCTGTTCCAGGTACTACCCTGCTCCCTCATCTGCTCCTATCCCTAAGGCTCATCCTCAGGTTCTTCTTGTGGCCTTCATGGGTTCCTTACCCTGGAAAAATGGGAGGTGACCAGTTTGTCTTCTCTTCTGCGCCCTAGGAGTGACTTTCCTGTCTGGGGGTCAGAGTGAAGAGGAGGCATCCCTCAACCTCAATGCCATCAACCGCTGCCCACTTCCCCGGCCATGGGCCCTCACCTTCTCCTATGGGCGTGCCCTGCAGGCCTCTGCACTCAATGCCTGGCGAGGGCAACGGGACAATGCTGGGGCTGCCACTGAGGAGTTCATCAAGCGGGCTGAGGTTGGGAGCTAGAGGTGGTGGTGGTTGGGGGGCAGCACCCAGAGGCTACTGCCTGGGTGGGGTTTGGCACTGGTGACCTGGATCAGCCTGCTTACCCCACTTCCCTTTTTGCAGGTGAATGGGCTTGCAGCCCAAGGCAAGTATGAAGGCAGTGGAGAAGATGGTGGAGCGGCAGCACAGTCCCTCTACATTGCCAACCATGCCTACTGAGCATCCACTCCACACCACAACCCTTGGTCCAGGCACCTGCACCCACTTTTTGCTTGTAGTCACAGCCAGGGCCAAATAGCCATGCAGAGCAGAGATGCCTTCATCCAGAACCAAGTCGACTACATTTTCTCTTCTCCCCTCCCCTCTCCTATTGCTGCACCTGGGACTGTAGGATGGGAGGATAGGAAGCCTCTCATGAATGAGGGCAGGAGAACTTGCTAGAAGTTAAAGCAGGATGCCTGGGTCTCCCACACTGCCTCTGCCAGCTCCCTACAATTTCTCCATGATAAGGTAGCTTCTCCTTGGGCTTTCCTTGCCTGCCCTCTCTCCTGGGATCAGAGGGTAGGATACCAGCCCTGATTCATGCCTTGAATACATACCACACAGCAAATAAATGGTAGCAAAACATGCTACTTTGTCTGTCTGTTTCACACATGAAATTCCCACCTCCAAGTTTCTTATCTCTGCTAATTCTGTCTCTGGGACCTCTGATTCTGGAGGTGGAGAGGGCAGGATTTGAGTTTTACTGGGCTTCAAGTTTATGGAGGAAGGGCACACCCGGTCACCATCCCCAGCTCAGGCTCTTGCTTGTTGATGTCCAAGGCTGGAGTTGGGCAATGAGGAAGGCTGTGAGTCTTCCAGGGACTGCCACATTAGTGGCACTAGAATGCAGTTACAGAGGATAGAGTGAGACAAGACTTGGGCAACTCTCGAAGGCAGATTTTGTGCAAGGCTCAAAGCACGGAGGCAGCTTTGGGATGACAAGCTGGGATGAGAGTGGGTGGGGTCTGGGTCTCACATCTTTGTGGTGTTGAGCCTGGCTGGGGCCTGACATATTCTGCTAGGAGGAGCCACAGTGGGAGGAGCAGCTGGGCCTGCCTGACAAGGAAAAATCCCCTAGGCTGTGGGCTGAGCAGGATATCCAGGAGGTTGCCAAGGGCTATGGCCCACTCCTGTTTGGAGTATGAGGGGGCACAGAGGGGGCTGATTTGAGGGTCTGGGTGAGGGCAGACCTGGTGAGGCCTCAAGCTGAACTTTGACACTGGGCTTGGGTGTGACCCAGGGCTGAAAACCTGGGTCTATCTGAGCAGATAAAAGGATGAGAGAAAAAGCAGGATGTATCCTATGAGAACTCAGGAGGCCACCAATGCTCCACCCGTGTGGCCTGACCTTATAATAACAAAATAGCTATCACTTATAGCACTTTCTATGCGTTCCTGCCAACCCTATTCTAATCACTTTACATGTATTAATTCATTTGATACAACTGTATAGAGTAGGTACCATTATTATCCCCATTATAATACGAGGAAAAAGGCACAGAGAGATCTCAAGACCACTCAGGTAATAAGTGAAGCCCGGATTTGAACCGAAGTGATCAGGATCCAGAGTCTGTGCTCATGAATTTTCGAGACTTTTATCCTGACTTTTCCAAGTTGGAGATTAATTTAAACATACTGGGAAGCTGGGCGTGGGGTGTGTTCGTGTGTGTGTGCGCGCGCTTGCGTGTGAGAAATCATCGCTTAAGCCCAGGGGTTTGAGAACAGCCTGGGCAACATAACAAGACCTCATCTTAAAAAAAAAAAAAAGAAAAAAAGTACTGAGAGAGCCAATTATGCTAAAAAGGTACTAGCTTACCACCTCCGTTTTTTTATTTTTTTGAGACAGAGTCTCGCTTTGTTGCCCTGGCTAGAATGAGGAATGAGTGCCGTGGCGTCTGCCCAGCGCACAGCAACCCCAAACTCCTGGGCTCAAGCAATCCTTCTTCCTCAGCCTCCCAAGTAGCTGGGACTACAGGCATGCGCCACCATGCCCGGCTAATTTTTTCTATATATATATATTTTTTAGTTGTCCAGATAATTTCTTTCTATTTTTTGGTAGAGACGGCGTCTCACTCTTGCTCAGGCTGGTCTAGAACTCCTGACCTTGAGCGATCCACTCGCCTCGGCCTCCCAGAACCACCTCCGTTTTTGAGTCTTGTGGAGAGGGTGGCCAGAAGATAGGGATGCTAAAACAATGATCGTGATAGTTGGCATCTGAGGGCTTTCCGTGTGTCAGGCACTTTATGCGAATGCCTTCATTTAAGTAAATATCTCCACTTTTCAGATGAGACAACTGAGCCTCAGAGCTGCCCGTGGTTGCCAAGATAGTATTTAACGACTGCAGAGTTTGCGCTCTTAATCCCTGGGGCTTGGAGTGCGCTCTACTGGGAAGCGGGAGACTAAACCAGCACAGCCCCTCGCCCGCCACTCGGTGCCCTGGTAACCTCCTTTCAAACTCCCCTCGCGGCATTCTCCCGCCTGCGGGACTGGAGTGCCGCTCGCGATTGGCCCGGATCGCTGCTGTGGTCCCGCCCCCTCATTGAGGGGTTTCCGATTGGGGGAGGCTTACGCAGCCCCACCCCTCGACGCTCTGAGCGGCGGAAGCGAGCATGGCGGCCGCCGGAGCTGCGGCTACTGACCTAGGTGCTGTGGGTTTCGGGTGGGGGCCTGCAGCCCGCAGATTGCAAGGGGGGAATCCTGGGGTGGTGATTGTGGTGTACGAGAGGTCCTGCAGACTGGGTGGGGTCGGGGGTCGCTTCAGACGCGATCCCTTCGGACTTGGGCCGGGTCCCCTTGCACGGGGATCCCTACGTACGCGGGCCGAGGGCCTTTGGGTGCCGGTTGCCGGGGCTCCTTCGCGTCGGGGGTGGGGCCGGCACCAGAGCTCGTTTTCGGTCCCTCACTCGGTCCCCGCGTATCCTTAGAGGTGGTCCGGGGAAAGCGCGCCGCCCTCTTCTTCGCGGCGGTGGCCATCGTGCTGGGGCTGCCACTCTGGTGGAAGACCACGGAGACCTACCGGGCCCCGTTGCCTTACTCCCAGATCAGTGGGCTGAATGCCCTGCAGGTGAGACTGCGGGTAGGGGAGGGTCAGGGGACAGCCCACCAGCGAGGTGAGACTCAGTTGATGGCCCTCATGCTCCTTCCCACAGCTCCGGCTCATGGTGCCTGTCACTGTCGTGTTTACGCGGGAGTCAGTGCCCCTGGACGACCAGGAGAAGTTGCCTTTCACCGTTGTGCATGAGAGGGAGATTCCTCTGAAATGTGAGCTCCTGGGGAGGTCAGGGCTGCCTTTCTGGTCTGAATTCAGTCCAGAGATGGGTTGGGTAGGAGGAGCATGGGTGTTCCATCAAGGTAGTTAAAAACTTATTCTTAAAGACCTCTCTTGAATGAACAGTGTACTTTGTTAGGAAAAAAACCAGCTTGGCTGGTCCGATGGGTTATCAGAACTTAACTGACATTAGTGTTACTGAAGCTGGTATACAAGCCCCCTCTGCTGAATTTGACTGGCTTAAAAAAAAAAAAGCAACTAGCTTTAAATTCAGTGTCTGTCATTATGGTGGTAGTTTCCTTTTTTTTTTGAGACAGAGTCTCACTGTGTTGCCCGGGCTAGAGTGCCGTGGCGTCATCCTAGCTCACAGCAACCTCAAACTCCTGGGCTCAAGCGATCCTCCTGCCTCAGCCTCCCGAGTAGCTGGGACTACAGGCATGCGCCACCATGCCCAGCTAATTTTTTCTATATATTTTTAGGTGTCCAATTAATTTCTTTCTATTTTTAGTAGAGGCGGGGTCTCGCTCTTGCTCAGGCTGGTTTCGAACTCCTGAGTTCAAACAATCCGCCCGCCTCGGCCTTCCAGAGAGCTAGGATTACAAGCGTGAGCCACCGCGCCTGGCCGAGGGATGTAATTTTTAAGTTGGATTTTTAAAGGATGTGTAGGAATTCAGGTTAAATGGGCAGAGGAGGGAGGGAATTTCAGGCAGGGTGAATAGCATGAGCCAGTAACAAGGACAGCTAATAGTTGTTGTTCCCTGTGTGCCAGAAACTAGGTGAAGCATTTTATATGTGTTGCCTCATTTAATTCTTTCTACTGTTATGATCCTTGTTTTATAAATGAAGAAATTGAGACTTAGAGAGTTTAACTTGTCCAAAATTATACAGCTAGCAAGAGGTGGAGCTGGGATTTAAATCTAGGCCTGAGGAAGCTCACTTGAGCCCAGAAGTTCGAGGCTGCAGTGAGCTATGATTGTGCCACTGCACTCCAGCCTGGGTGACAGAGTGAGACCCTGTCTCAAAAAAAAAAAATCAATCAATCCAGGCCTGACTGATTACAGTGTGCAAGCTTTTATTATTATTACTATTTTTTGTAAAGATGGAGTCTTGCTATGTTGCCCAGGCTGATCTTCAACTCCTGGCCTCAAGTGATCCTCCTGCCTCAGCCTCCCAAAGTGCTGGGATTATAGGCATGAGCTACCATATCTGGCCCTAGTATGCAAGCTATTAACCAACAAACTCTACTCCTGTATAAAAGCATGGAGAGGTGAATCAACATGTTGGGGGAATGATGAGCGGTATTGCTTTACTGGAATGTGAAGTGAAAGACTGGGAGTGATTAAAGATGTGGGCTGAGTCCAGACCATTAAGTACCTGCATGCCGTTTACTTTCTAGCTGTTTAATCTTGGTCAAGACATTTTTTAAAAAATCATATTTCAGGCCAGGTGCGGTGGCTCACATCTGTAATCCTAGCACTCTGGGAGGCCGAGGCGGGAGGATAGCTTGAGCTCAGGAGTTTGAGACCAGCCTGAGTGAGACTTTGTCTCTGCTAAAAATAGAAAAATTAGTCAGGTGTGGTGTTGTGTTCCTGTAGTCCCACCTCCTCCGGAGGCTGAGGCAGGAGGATAGCTCAAGCCCAGGAGTTTGAGGTTATACGGAGCTATGCTGCGGCCACTGCACTCTAGCCTCATCGACAGGGCAAGACCCTGTCTCAGGAAAAAAAAAAAAAGTGAAGAAAAATAGAACAGAACAGGGGGGTAGGGAGTTTTCTTGGGGACTAGGAGGTGATTGCAATTTTAGGGTGGCCAAGGAAGGCCTCATTGAAAAGACCTAAAAAAGGTGAGGGAATAAATTATGCAGATATGAGGTGGGAGGGAAGAGCATCTTGGCAGGGGGAAAGGCAAGTCTGAGGTAGGAGCAGGTGTGGTACCTTTCAGGAACAGTGAGAGTCTCACTGTGGCTTAACTGGGGTGAATGAGGGAGACAGAAAGAGGAAATGAAATAAAACCAGAGCAGTAGAGGGGGCCTGGATCACATAGGGCCTGATAGGTTGCTGTGAGTATTTTGGCTTTTATTCTAGATGAGAAGGTAAGCCATTGAAAGTTTTTTGATTTGTTTTTTAAACATAACTATATTATCACACCTAACCAACCTAGCAGTAATTCCTTAATATCACCTAATTCTCAGTCTATATTTAAATCTCCCCAGTTATCTCAAAGGTGTCCTTTCACAGCTGGTTTATTCTAATCGGGATCAACACATTGCCTTTGGTTAAGTCTCTTTTATTGTACATCAGCTCTCCCGACCAAGTCACATACACTTCTTTTCATACCATCGATTTGTTGGAGAAACCAGGTCATTTGTTTTATAGAACATCTTAAATTTGAGATTTGGCAAATCATTTCCTCATAGTTTCATTTAACTTATTCCTCTAGTATTCATATTTTTTATAAAATGGTAGTTAAATCTAGAGGTTTGATTAAAGCCAGGTACAATTTTTTAGGCAAGAATACTTTATAGGTGGTACAGTGTACTACCTATTGTGTTGTATCATGAAGCATGTAATGGCTGGTTTTCCACCTTGGGTGATGTGCAGATTATTTAGTGAGTTCAGGTATTGTCAGCCTTATCTCTGCATTTTAGGGTCCCCTGAACCTTTCACCTGATGGTTTTAGCATCTATGTGATGCTAAAAAAAAAAAAAAAAAAAAAAAAAAAAAACTTAAGAAAGAACATGCTGAATAACAATGAGAATAATAGAGGAGATAGCAGGCATCTTTGTTTTATTGTTAACTTTTTTTTTTTTGAGACAGAGTCTTGCTTTGTTGCCCTGGCTAGAGTGAGTGCCGTGGAGTCAGCCTAGCTCACAGCAACCTCAAACTCCTGGGCTCAAGCAATCCTTCTGCCTCAGCCTCCCGAGTAGCTGGGATTACAGGCATGTGCCACCATGCCCGGCTAATTTTTTCTCTATATATATTTTTTTAGTTGTCCAGATCATTTCTATTTTTTAGTACAGACGGGGTCTCGCTCTTGCTCAGGCTGATCTCGAACTCCTGACCTTGAGCGATCCACCCGCCTCGGCCTCCCAGAGTGCTATGATTACAGGCGTGAGCCACTGCGCCCAGCCCCTATCGCTAACTTTAATGGGATTGTGTTTAGTGTTTTGTCATTAAGTGTGTGTTTTGTTTTTTGTCAGGCATGTTCATTGAATTTAATTATTTGGGGGCAATGATTGGAATGACCATGTGGTTTTTCTCCTTTCATCCATTAATGTAATGAATATTGAAATAGATTTCCCAGTGGGAAGATACTGCAGACTGAAGAACAAGTGTGTGCACAGGTGGGGGCAAGAGATGGGGCAGATGGGTGTCATGTGTTCGATATCATCTATGCAGACATCATTAGAGTTGGCTGTAGCTTCTTGGTCTTTTTCTGCAAACTACCATCTTGCTGTCCTCAGACTCTGGACAGTATTAGGGCTGGGAAAGTAGGCAGAAGTCTGACACTTGCCCTTCTCATAATGCTGCTTCCTTTCCCTCCCAGACAAAATGAAAATCAAATGTCGTTTCCAGAAGGCCTATCGGAGAGCTTTGGACCATGAGGAGGAGGCCCTGTCATCAGGCATTGTGCAAGGTACAGGAAGGGGTGAGCACACCATTTTAACAAGAAGTCCTCTTTTACCTACTAAGTGTGCGGTTTTCATACTTTGCCTTACCTCTAAAACCGCTCTGGGAAATCTGGGAATGAGGTACTGCAGGTTTCAGCCTGGGCTACTGAGGGCCAGAGAGGCGATTGGCTTACCCAAGTCTGGCCACAGTGTCAGCTGAGTGCGACTGGACGGGTGGCTTAGGCACTCTGTGGTGGCCATGGGGAGATGGAATGGTATTTTTGCTCCTGGTGTACCACTTGCTCTTGTCCCCAGAGGCAGAAGCCATGTTAGCTGAGCCCCAGGAACAAGCAGAGGGCTCCCTGACTGTGTACGTGATCTCTGAACACTCCTCACTGCTCCCCCAGGTAGGGTTAGCAGAGAGGCTGCGGCCTTACCTATCCCTCAGCTCATCCCCTCCTGGGTCATCTCCTTCTTACAATATTGCTACCCATTTCTTCCATTTGCTACAGAAAACTCTCCAAATCTTTTTTAAAAAATACCAATGGTGATTTATTCGTTGACTTTGGGTCTTCCTAAATCCAAGACTTAGATATGGTTAAAGTGCCAATGACCATTTAAAGTGGACAAAAAATAGGCCGGTTGCAGTGGCTCACGCCTGTAATCCTAGCATTCTGGGAGGCTGAGGCAGGAGGATCGCTTGAGGTCAGGAGTTCAAGACCATCCTGAGCAAGAGACCAACCTGAGCAAGAGCAAGATCCTATCTCTACTAACAATAGAAAAAAAATTAGCTGGGTATGGTGGCGGGCACCTGTAGTCCCAGCTACTCGGGAGGCTGAGGCAGGAC